ACAAATCAAATTTTGTGTTTAAATGTATTTACTTTATGATATTTCTTATTAATAATGGATTAAAAAAGATATAAAAAGAGAGAGAAGAAAGAAGAGAAATTATAAGAAAAATACAGGGGAAAACTTAAGAAATGAGATTTTCGTGGAACATAGATTTTAATTTTGAATCGCAATTGCATGTATGTTGTGAATTAAAGTCATATTTTTCTAAATATTGACTTATTATATTGATTTCTTTTTTTCGTGAAATCACGATCATTTCTTAATATTGTAGAAATATGTTCAAACATATGTTTCTCTTGCATTTAAATTGTAAAAGATAAATGAACATACATATAAATATGATATTTAAGATTGTACATATAATATCACATTAAACGAATCTTTTCACAAAGTCTTAAATGTATTTGTTATATTGATTGTTGTTTAAATGTATTTGTTGCATTGATCTTTGTTAGGAATACCGACGAGGTAATATTAAAGACAATCGGACCTGGGTAAATTTCTTTCTCTACCAAATATCTAAAAGATATCTTATGACCCAATTTTAGACATATTTCGATTTTGATGGTATCTAGTAAAACCATGTTGAAACAATTATTCGCTAGAATTGGGATCTTCTCTGATTTTATTGGCTTGTGTTGACCAGGAATGGTCTAATCTAGCCGGTCATCAACCGCTTGAAATAAATTTTTTAAATGAATTAATATATCGCTATATATATACTTATTTTCTTTTTTTTTAATCAAGTGTTTGAGGATTTGATGCATAGTCAAAAATATGCTTCAAAAAACAGAAAACATGCACAGAAACGCGTCCATGGACTCGTAGAATTGGGATAACTTGGTATTCTTGCACATGCACTTTCACCACACTATGTGTATCGCTTCCTCCTCTTCCCTTATTCATGTCCTCAAAAGCAGATAACGTGATAACGCATATATGAAAGCGTTAGGTGAGAGTGTTATATTTCAACTGCACTCACATAAGGTGATTTGATTGCTCTATGATGGAGAAACCGGATAACTTTATTCTTCTCTTTCAACCTCATTGCAAAAGTTATCCGGGCTCTACTGCAAAAAATAAAAATGAAAGCTTTTATGTAAATATAATTGAATTTTACACACTAAAAAAATTATAGTATTTAATATTCAAAATGTGTAACATTAAAAAGATATATAAATTATTATGAATTTATAAAGTACAAAGTATTATTTTATACTCTTAGTTTATTTTTTTCTAAAAATTAAAACTCATTAGAGTCATTTCGTGTTAAATAACGAGCGTTTGTATTAAATTATTGTAGACAAATAATAAAAGAATTCAGATAAGCACGATGTAATTCCATTTTTTTTTGCAAAATGTAAATTATTAGTTCAATATATTTGCTTAAAATCTGACATAGGCGTATACAAAGAGAAGGAAAGGTGAAAGTTGGAGTAAAACTCTTCCCTTAAAAAAAATCAGTTTTGCTGATTCCATAATTTAACTCTATTAAAGATATTTTAGACAATTGGCTGAAAAGAATTCGAAAGAAATTATTTAAATAAAGAAAAGAAAAAAATTTTTTAATATAATTTAAATATATATAAAATTTTTAAAAATAAAAATAGAATCGCAGAAGTTTCATTGAATCCGAATAAGATAAGTGTGTGATACGAAGAAAAATATTAAAAATTAATTATTAGTTTTTAAGTGATTGTGGCGTTTTGTATATTATTAACAGCATTATTTTATGCTCAATTTATTTGTGATTCAGGATAATTTCATTATATGTATAAGATTTTGCGTGTATTGAGAAAGACTGTGTACAGTTGAACCGTTTACATTTTATAATCATTTATTAATTTTTGATCGTATCAAATAAAATTATTTTAACATCCAAAAAACATTTTTGCTCTTTTAGTTAGCCTTTTCTTAATTACTTATAGTCATCTTTTCTATTAATTAAAAATCAAGTCATTTTGCCAAACATTGCTCCATTATCAAATGCCAAACTTCAGTGATTCTTATTTTATTAAGCGGGGAGCACACACTCTTGCATAAGCGCATAAGCATATGCATAAAAAATTCGATTGGTTGAATTTCTTATGCATACGTTCATAGACCAATCAAGATTCTTATACTTACGCTTATGCGTCTATGCAAACGTGTGTGCTTCCCGTTTTACACGACATAGACTTCCTAAAACAAAATGACAATCTTAATGTATTTTTTGAAATTCATCTACATTATTTATAAAATAACAAAATTAATAAATCGACTTTTTGCAGAAGATATTAATAACATTTACATTCGCGTACCTAATTTGTTTTCATCATTTACATATGTCACATATGAGCACAGCATATAACGCTAAATTATAAAAAAATAAAGACAATATACAGGGTGTCCCAGAACTGGAGAAAAAGTTTTTAATGGCAGATATTCCTGGTATCATTCGAAGACGATTTTTCCTTAGTGAAAATGTTGAGGAAAGCGATCATTTTTAGCATGTTCTCAATTTTTGTTATTATGTATCTTTATAATTAAGCCTTATATTAAAATAAGCAAACTCTACCTAAAATTAACTAAAGAATGTATATATAGTTCTGTTAATATTTTATTTCTACAAGAGTTTAGTTTCCAAAAAACCTTTATTTTCAACTGCTTATAATTCCAAAATTATTGGTGTCTCGACATTTTCGCTGAGAAAAAATTGTTTCCGACGATTTATACCAGGAATCTGCCATTAAAAACTTTTCCGCCAGTTCTGGAACACCCTGTATATGTATATTGAACTTATATAAATAACAAAAATCTCGTATAAGACTTAACAGTGCGATTCCATTTTATTCCGCACAATTTGCTTCTTTTTCTCCTTATTATTTTCTACAAGAAAGTTAAAATCGTGCAAATTTTTGTTTCACTGCATCCTTACACAAAATGTTCATCATGAAATATATCGAAGGGTATTACATATACAGTGTGTTCAACATGTAAAGAGATCAAATTATAACTATATTATTTATATAATATAGAAACTATTTTAATATTAAAGAAATTGCGAGATTTTTTTGCGCGTAAAAAGAACTATATATATATATATATATATATATATATATATATATATATATATATATATAGTTATATATATACAGGGTGGGCCATTTTAAAAAATACGATCAATTTTGGATCGTGTCCGGATCTTGTCTTGACTAGCTGGATCATGCTTGGACTTTGCCCTGATCGATCGGAGCATGTAAAATAAGACTATCGGAAAGTGAATATTTTAAGAAATATTTTGTATTTTTATCAAAATGTAGTAACTTTCGAGCTTTATAATTCCAAAAGTACGCAATGGAAAAACATTTGACTATAGTGTTTTGGAAAGCTCTCGATGTCAGCTACAAGAATATGTAAGAAAAAATAGGAGGTGCCATTTAAAAAAATTGAGGTGACCTTCGCGTGATCTTCAAATGAATATCCAAAGTCAAACCAATGGCACCATCTTATAGCCCCTTCGAAACCATACAATACATGTCTGAACCATTTTTCTATATTTCGCTTAGTTTACAAGAATATTGATCGTATTTTTTAAAATAGCCCACCCTGTATATATATATGTGTGTATATGCTTAATGTCAGCGGGACTCTTCCGTGTGACTCTCTTGGAAATTCAGCCAAGATTGTTCAACTACGGTGGCCACTCTTTTCTCATATTCCCGTTTGTTTTCTTGATACAATTGCGCCGCTAAAGAATTGGCCGGTGAATTAGGATTCGGTTCGTCCAAAAGCGACTGTAACATAAATAATCAACATTTTACCTCAAATATATCTTTTGACAAATTTAAAAATATACAAGGTGTACGAAAAGTCCCCTTAATTATTTTCAACAATACGCATTTCTGGTAATTATGACCTTGAATAGCGTTGTCAACGTCATGTGAAGGTCACCTTCAATTTTTTAAATGTAAACCCCTATTTCTCAATACATGTTCCTGCAGCTTATCTCAAGAACTTTTCAAAATACTATAATAAATAAATAGCGTTGTCAAAGTCACGTGAAGGTCTTTTTCAATTTCTTAAATGTAAACCCCTATTTTTCAATACATGTTCCCAGATAGCCACAGTATTATTATGACATCAAAATGTATCATATGATGCATTTGACATCAAAATGATGTCATAATAATTACTGTGGCTATCTGGGCTTTTATCTTAAGAGCTTTTCAAAACGCTATAATAAAGTATATTTTCATTAAGTACTTTTTGAGTTATGTTTGAAGTTTATAGTATCTTGATACAAAATATCTTGTGAAACAGTTTTATATATCAAAATACTTTACTAAACTTCAAGCATTATAATTACTTTATATACTTTAATTAATAGTGTTTTGCAAAACACGCAGTAAACTACACGAATATGTAATAAAAATGGGGATTTCCATTTAAAAAATTAAAGGTGATCTTTACGTGACCTTGATAATGCTATACAAGGTCATAATAATATTGTTATATGTAATGCACCACTTAAAACACAAGTTTCGTATGATACACTTTTTTCAGAAATGCATATTGTTCAAAATAATTATGGAGTCTAGGGTATTTCATACATCCTGCACATTAGTGTACATAAAACACAAAAGCAAGATATAGATATAGGTTGGAGAGAATAACGAATACCATAGGCTACAATTACTAGATTATAAAGAGAAATTATGCATTTATTACCTCATTAAATATATATATATATATATATATATATATATATATATATATATATATACATATATATAAATAAATTTGTGTACATATATCAAAGTACATACACTAAATTCAATAAAAGTATAATTCTGCGCCGCCAAAAAAAGAAAAATTAAATAAAAAATAAAAAGAAGAAATAAAAAATGTGGACGAGAAAAGAAAAAGCCAAATTTGTTTTTTTTCATATTCTAGATTTTAATGTATAACTAATTTTTTTTCGTGTTATATCACTAGATGTTCGAAATAAATAAATAGACAATTTTATAATAGTTTATTATTCAACATTGTAAAAATTCGGTCTAACGTTGCACATTATCGTGGTAGTTCAATAAAGCTGTCAGGAAGAAACATGCCAGATCTGTGTATTTATTTTTTTGTTGTTTTTTAGCGTTAGTTCCTCCTCACGCAGTATAAAGCTACATGTTCTTCTCCCTTGTGTGAATCTGATGGTTGTTGTCGACGGCTGACACTGATGCCGTGTTTTACAGCAGCATTACGTTAATGTCCATAACTAATCCACAAAACTCTGTTCCACGCAAGCCTTCACTCGCTTCTCGTACTCGCGTCGATTCTCTTTGTACAGTTGCGCTGCCATTGAGTTGGCAGGTGAATTCGGGTTCGGGTCACTTAACAGCGACTGCAATCACATAAGTCGTACCTTGTTACATTTCGTAGCATAGTTTTAGTTTTAGTTATTGTTATTTTGATAAAGTGCGTTGACATAAGGCCCCCTGGATCCTCGCCATGTAAGTTTGTAACGTCAGAAGCGAGAAAGCACACGCTGGAAATTCTTGGATGTCATTTTTAAATGAAAAAATACTTCAGATGGTTTTAGCACACTTTTAAAATACTTTGAAAACTATATTTCCTTTAACAGACAATCAAAAAACCGTAAAATGATCGTGATATCAAACTTTATTATATATTACAGTCATTTTACAGCTTGATTAATGTAAAAGGGAAAAGGATCATTTTTAAAATATTTTACGAGTGTGCTAAAGTTATCTGAAGTGTTTCATTGAAATATTTTTTATTTCGAAATGGCATCTAAGAATTTTTAGCGTATGTTTTCTCGCCTCTGACGTCACAATTTCAACATGGTAAGCGAGAAGCCAGGAGCCATAAATATAAATTTAACATGATAATTTTTGCTCTTTCTTCTCGCTCTTCTTCTTCTTCTTCTTCTTCTTGTTCCCGTCAATTGATACGGAAAAATAAAAAAAATATATTAAAAAATGTACAGGGTGTCTCATAGGAAATTGCTGAAATTAATCAGCTGACATTTTTTAATGCATAATTATTGAGAAAACAAAAATTATGTTGGAAAGAGGAAAGTTTGTAGTTTTTAATGGATATAAATAAAATGTTTACACACTAGTTTATTTTATTGACAAAAAGTAATGAAAAAAGTACTAATTATCACATAAAATCGCATAAACTAATGATAAATATTTTAAACAGATTTAATAGCAGCTCTATTAAAAGGATCGTCAATAACATTAAAAATGATGTTAGAAAAAGTTTTTACAAGTTTTCGTAAAAAAACAGCTTTTTGTATAAATTCAAATGGTGCGCACTTTTTCAAAAATACTTATCATTAGTTTACATATGTGATTATTAGCACTTTTTTCATTACTTTTTTTCAATCAAATAAACTGGTAAACATTTTATTTATTGTATATCCATTAAAAACCACTTTCCTCTTTCCGACACAATTTTTGTTTTCTCAATAACTGCATGCATTAAAAAATGACAGCTGATTAGTTTCAGCAATTTCTTATGGGACATCCTGTATATTGACGGGAGATTAAAAACACAAGTTAATCATGCCAGATAGCGCAAATGCACCTCATTTGATGCACTTCAAATGATGTACGCTTGCTTATACCTGGGATATGTACATGTAGAATTTTATGCAAGTGTTATATAATATGCAAATAATTTTTCGTGAACTGAAATCATGTGATTAGACTTTGCTGAATTGCAACCGCTGTTAAGATAAAACGAATGAGCCCTTCATAGATATTTTTATCGTGTGTAATTAAGAAAAGAAAGTTTCATAAAGTTTTTTTTTCAATAAATATGAATAAAATATGAATTAAGTCTTTGAAAGAAAATAAGATTATATCTCTAATATAAATATAAGAAAAAAGAATAGCATAAATTTTAAAATATAAATACAAAAACATATTTAATGTGAGATTCAAAAGATAAAATTATGTTTTTTTATTTTGCTATGTATATTTAATTAAAGCCATGCAAAGTACGTTTGTGGCTAATAATATCGAGTTTTAATTATATATGTCTCTTATAACATACTTAATATTAAACAGCACAATCAAAAACATTAATTATGTCTAGTACATTTAGTATGTTTACATTTAATAGTAAAACTCTCTGTAACTAAGAAGAGAAACATATCTTTTTGTTTATAAAGATCAACATAGTATACATCGCATAACAATCAATATTAATGTAAAGTAGCTTAAATCAATTAGGGTATTTTGCATTAAAAAAAAAAATTAAAAAAGTAAAATCATAAAATCTCTTTATAAATGCGCGAAACAGCATTAATGCTTTTGATTGCATACTTTAATGTTTCTGTAATTTTAATATAATATAATTTTGATATACAAAATATCCCCACTTGTTATAGTGAAATAATAAAAGATTTATATGGAAAAAAGAAAAACCATTACTTTATATAGAAAAATATTAAAAAACATTATCATTTCTAAGTGCAAAATAAATTTACAATTAAAAAGGAGATTGCTCTTGCAAAAATAAATCAAAAGTAAAGTAAAATTTTTTTACATGAGAAAATTGACTAAACTTAAAATTTAAAAATTTTTGAAAAATTTATAACATATTTACTTATTTAAGCTTGAGTAATATCTAATCTTGTGTAAATATAAAGGTACATTTATTATATAAATATAAACAATTTTCTTTAGTAAAATAAAAATAATAGTTATATATACTAAGTTACTAAAAAAGTACTTGTCAAGATAAAACTAATTTAGATTCGTTTTTGCACAATCACATTCTTTTTTATTGTATTACGTTTTTTAGTTATATCTTGTATGTTATTCATAAAATATAAATATAAATTTATTAAATACTACTGGACTTGTAAAGTTAAAGTTTTTTTTATTCTAATGACTTAAAAAATGATATAAAAAAATAAGAATATTAAAACGTCTTATAGTGAAAAAAGAAAAATGACATACCTGTATAGATGTCAAGATGGCTGAGACATCATAAGTAGGGCTCCAACGATTTTGAAGTATATCGAGACAAATTCCACCATCCGCATATACATTAGGATGAAACATCTTACTAACAAATCTTACTGTAGGTGGTTTGTTTGGATATTCTTCTGTAAATTCTATTGTAAGTTTAAATGTACCATCTTCAAACGGAGTGTCATGTGGTCTTGAAACAGAAATATAAATAAAATGTTAAATCTTACTTGAAACTTAAATCAAATCTTATATCTCTAATTGATACATATTTTATAAAATAAAAATAAAAATATAATTAAAAATAAAAAATGTTTTCCTTTCTTAGATATATTTCTTGCTTAAGATATTTTTTCTGACTTGTAAAAAAAAAAACATAATATAAATTCTATAAACAACAAATTGCATTGTATCTCACCCAAATATAACTGCATTCCATATCATAATATTATTGTCTGTTGGAGCACCTGATACTCCGGTTGGAGGATCTTCCTGTAATCTTTAAAATATAATTTTTTTTAATTTTTGGCAACACACTCTCATATGTATAACATTTATATAATATTAATTTTTAATTATTTTTTATCATAATTTATTTTATTGTCGTTTTATTATAAAATTTGATCAAATTTTTCAATTGTGTAATATATATCTATAAAAATAGAAAAAAATTTTGACTACTTGCATAATTTGTTCTTATCAAATTTGATGAAAAAAAATTTAAATATTTATAAGTCTAAGTATTATATGCTGAAACTTGTTACAATCTAAAATGTCTAATATTATAAGAGCAAATAAACATAAGAATCATTATTTAAATTTAAACAAATAACACCGTAGGAAGCATTCAACAATAAGAAAGGTTTGTTTATCGAAGATAATGAAAAAAGTTGTCAGTTTTCTAATAAATATAAATAGCAACTGATGATGCTGAAGAACTTGTAACACTGTTGCACTTAATGCAATAACTTCATCCTAGAACAAGATTACACAATAACAATTAATAACAATTTGCAAAATTCAAGTACCTCTTGAAATCCCTCATTAATCTCCTCCTCGCGGGGGTGGACATCCCTTACAAACCGGCTCCCCGGTTAACTTTGCACCTGGACAATGACAATGATGGATGATAATCACACAAAAGAGGTTCTTTCCTTACTCCTTTGACGATGATGATATATCAATGTTGGTGACGTTAATGATAACCTGCTGATGACGACAAAGACAGTCTTCCTCTATATCCAGTGCAGGTCGTCTATCATCAAGATAGACTTCCTGTAATCTTTAAGATACAATTTTTTTTAATTTTTGGCGACACATTCTCATATATATATATATATGATTTCTTAATGATTTATTATCATAATTTATCGTTATTTTATTATCGCTTTATTATAAAATTTGATAAAATTTTTCAATTATTTAATATATATCTATCCTAATACCACAACATATCCAAGATATTCAGAGGATATCCAGAAGGCATTCGAATATCCTAAGGATGTTCTCCGAACGTCTTCGAGATGTGTGCTGTTAGGGTATAAAAATAGAAAAAAATTCTTAGTACTTTTATAATTTGCGCTCATCAAATTTAGAAGAAACAGAAGAGATGTAACGTTGCACTTTCTCTCTCGACGAGGGTTATCTTCTTCTTCTTTGCCAAAAATCCGGATCCGCGTCAATCACGTCAAGAACGAAGAAGACGGTGACAAACACACGCACGTGCACAAGGGCGGAAGCGGAGAGAAAAAAAGGGGAAGAGAGAGAGATAGATAGATAGAAAGAGAGGTCCCCTCGAGTTGTTTGTTTCGTCCTTCGCCTTTTGTCGCGTCCGTGAAGGTCGCCTTGCTTCTATTGGGAAAACGAATGCGATCCCATCCCCCCCGACTAGCAGAATGGCAACGATGACGATGAGGCTCCTGCGATTTCCGAATTAGTTTCGATATTGGAGAGCAGAGCGATGATGGTGGTGGTGATGGTGATGGTGATGGTGATGGTAGTAGTGGTAGTAATAGTAGTGGTAGTAGTAGTAGTTAGTAGTACTTGTCGACTGATTTTTTCTTCCTTTTTTTTTTTAAATTTTTTTCCCCCTTTATTTACGACAAAGAGTTTCTCTGTGTCTTTATTTATTCTAACAGCGAGACCTTCACGAGATGCGATTCAGCCTTTGGAGGAAATTTTCGCTGACTGCTGCCAAACAGTCACGACAGCTGGGCAGCAGGGACAGAAGTGAAGCGGTGGGGGATACAAGAAATAAGCTGTCTCTCAGCGCATGACGTCACCGCCGGGATACCCGCACGAGTGACGCGGAGTGGCCAATCAATCCTTCGCTTCCCCAGAAATAATAGATACATGTGGATGTTGCCAGGGAGGGGACAAAATCCGATAGCCCGCGTTTCTGATTGGCCGGTTAAATTACTAGGAACTCTCTGATTGGTCGGAGAATCGCTGGGGATCCTGAAAAATTTGGACGGGTTCACAATAGGTGATTTAAGCCTTAAGGTCTGTGTCCACGATACTAGGGTATCGATTCTGTAACTTTTCTAAAGTGAAAACGTGAAAAGCGAAAAATTTCCAATGCCAAATCGCGCATTGATTATAAAATGAAATTGATGTGCAATTGGCGGAAATTTTTCACTTTTTACGTTTTCACTTTAGAAAAAGTTACAGAATCGATACCTTGAACTGGGTATCTATTACGGTTATTTGGGTGAGTTTGCTCACGAGATGAAAATCACAAAAGTGAGAGATTCACTAGATTTTGACCAATAGAAGCGTAGACAACCTAGTGAATCTCTCACTTTTGTGATTTTTACCTCGTGAGCAAACTCACTCAAAGAACCGTAATAAGTACCCTGGAACCGATTTCTAGCATCGTGGACACAAGGCTTAAGCGGAGAGCACACACGTTTGCATAGACGCATAAGCGTAAGCATAAAAATCTTGATTGGTCTATGAACGTATGCATAAGAAATTCAACCAATCGAATTTCTTATGCATATGCTTATGCGCTTATGCAAGAGTGTGTGCTCCCCGCTTTAAAGCTTACTACACCTAGGGTGCATTCGTTTATGCAAAGACTGCCGCAGAATGCCGCAGATGTCGTTCGTTTACTCCACCTGCGCAACCGACTGCAGCGCAGTTTGTTGTTCGTTTAAGCAGAGCTGCTGCCCATCTGCGCAGCCATCTCGGAGGTCCTGCTCAGGATGCTCTGCTCGCAATACTGCGGACTACTGCGTAAACGAATGTAGTCTTCTCCATTGTTAAGCCAATTGAACTTGGAAACGTTGTCTGAAAATTATTTCAATTATAAGTTATGTTATAAAAGTTCAGAACAAAGAAGGTGGAGAACAACTCCTCCAAATAGATCCTACAAAACTAAAAGTAATGCAAGGTAAGTAATACAATAAAATTATGAAATCTGTTAATTTATATTTACGATCCAATTAACTTAAAAATGCATTTTTATCAAGAATATAAATTTAAAGTAATCTGTTTCAAAAAAATGTGCTTTTGTATAAAGATGCAATTCTGTTACAGTCATTCCTAGCTATCAAGCTACTTCGTCCCCAGTTAGTTTGGAAAAATCTGAGAAGTCTACATTCAGCAACATTTCAATCCTACTGTCATCACTGTCTGAAAATGTTATGTGCACACGTCATATGTCAGAACCTTTAATCTATTTAAAAATTTTATTATATTTATTCAAATAATAATTCATATTTAATATAAATATGATGGTTTCTAAATCGGCCTAAGAGCCATAGCACGAAAAATTACGAAAATTAATTATTCGGAACTGTATCTCTTTGGTACGAGATTACTAAAGTTCCATATATTAATTAACCTCAAACTTACATATGGAGAAATAGGCACGAAAAATATAGATCCGAAAAGTCTGAATAGCTTAGTGGTAAGAGCAGTCGCCCGGAAAGTGAAAGACGCGGGTTTGATTCCCGCTTCAGCGACTTTTCGGACCTATATTTTTCGCGCCTATTTCTCCATATGTAAGTTCGAGGTTAATTAATATATGGAACTTTAGTAATCTCGTACCAAGAAATACAGTTCCGAATAATTAATTTTCGTAATTTTTCGTGCTATGGCTCTTAGGCCAATTTAGAAACCATCATATTTATATTGTTTATATTGAGAGCCAATAAAAAATATTTATTTCTGGGTTAATTCATATTTATTTAAAATTTCTTTACTTACGCACTCCAATTACAATCTGAGCAGTCAATTCACGCAGGTGATCGTTCGGTAAATGATGTCACGTGACTCGCAGATAATAGACGCAGTAGATGCGCAGTGGATGCGCTAATCGCTGCATAAACGAATGCACCCCGAGAGTAAGCAGTAAGCAGTACGAAATGGGATTGGCTCATTCCGTTACTCCCGACGAAATGAGCAAATCCCATTTCGTACTGCTTACTGCTTACTTTTGTACTCTGTAGGGTGCATTCGTTTATGCAGTGACTGCCGCAGAATGCCGCAGATGTCGTTCGTTTACTCCACCTGCGCAACCGACTGCAGCGCAGTTTGTTGTTCGTTTAAGCAGAGCTGCTGCCTATCTGCGCAGCCATCTCGGAGGTCCTGCTCAGGATGCTTTGCTCGCAGTACTGCGGACTACTGCGTAAACGAATGGGGTGCATTCGTTTATGCAGCGATTAGCGCATCCACTGCGCATCTACTGCGTCTATTATCTGCGAGTCACGTGACATCATTTACCGAACGATCACCTGCGTGAATTGACTGCTCAGATTGTAATTGGAGTGCGTAAGTAAAGAAATTTTAAATAAATATGAATTAACTCAGAAATAAATATTTTTTATTGGCTCTCAATATAAACAATATAAATATGATGGTTTCTAAATTGGCCTAAGAGCCATAGCACGAAAAATTACGAAAATTAATTATTCGGAACTGTATTTCTTGGTACGAGATTACTAAAGTTCCATATATTAATTAACCTCGAACTTACATATGGAGAAATAGGCGCGAAAAATATAGGTCCGAAAAGTCGCTGAAGCGGGAATCAAACCCGCGTCTTTCACTTTCCGGGCGACTGCTCTTACCACTAAGCTATTCAGACTTTTCGGATCTATATTTTTCGTGCCTATTTCTCCATATGTAAGTTCGAGGTTAATTAATATATGGAACTTTAGTAATCTCGTACCAAGAGATACAGTTCCGAATAATTAATTTTCGTAATTTTTCGTGCTATGGCTCTTAGGCCGATTTAGAAACCATCATATTTATATTAAATATGAATTATTATTTGAATAAATATAATAAAATTTTTAAATAGATTGAAGGTTCTGACATATGACATGTGCACATAACATTTTCAGACAGTGATGACAGTAGGATTGAAATGTTGCTGAATGTAGACTTCTCAGATTTTTCCAAACTAACTGGGGACGAAGTAGCTTGATAGCTAGGAATGACTGTAACAGAATTGCATCTTTATACAAAAGCACATTTTTTGAAACAGATTACTTTAAATTTATATTCTTGATAAAAATGCATTTTTAAGTTAATTGGATCGTAAATATAAATTAACAGATTTCATAATTTTATTGTATTACTTACCTTGCATTACTTTTAGTTTTGTAGGATCTATTTGGAGGAGTTGTTCTCCACCTTCTTTGTTCTGAACTTTTATAACATAACTTATAATTGAAATAATTTTCAGACAACGTTTCCAAGTTCAATTGGCTTAATAATGGAGAAGACTACATTCGTTTACGCAGTAGTCCGCAGTACTGCGAGCAGAGCATCCTGAGCAGGACCTCCGAGATGGCTGCGCAGATAGGCAGCAGCTCTGCTTAAACGAACAACAAACTGCGCTGCAGTCGGTTGCGCAGGTGGAGTAAACGAACGACATCTGCGGCATTCTGCGGCAGTCTCTGCATAAACGAATGCACCCATGTAGTCTTCTCCATTGTTAAGCCAATTGAACTTGGAAACGTTGCCTGAAAATTATTTCAATTATGAGTTATGTTATGAAAGTTCAGAACAAAGAAGGTGGAGAATAACTCCTCCAAATAGATCCTACAAAACTAAAAGTAATGCAAGGTAAGTAATACAATAAAATTATGAAGTCTGTTAATTTATATTTACGATCCAATTAACTTAAAAATGCACTTTTATCAAGAATATAAATTTAAAGTAATCTGTTTAAAAAAAATGTGCTTTGTATAAAGATGCAATTCTGTTACAGTCATTCCTAGCTATCAAGCTACTTCGTCCCCAGTTAGTTTGGAAAAATCTGAGAAGTCTACATTCAGCAACATTTCAATCCTACCGTCATCACTGTCTGAAAATGTTATGTGCACACGTCATATGTCAGAACCTTCAACCTATTTAAAAATTTTATTATATTTATTCAAATAATAATTCATATTTATTTAAAATTTCTTTACTTACGCACTCCAATTACAATCTGAGCAGTCAATTCACGCAGATGATCGTTCGATAAATGATGTCACGTGACTCGCAGATAATAGACGCAGTGGATGCGCTAATCGCTGCATAAACGAATGCACCCTGTATTCTTGCTGCCATTGTAGACCCCGCTTATTGTAGATGCGGCTCAATACCAGGCAACAAGCAATAGGAATAAGAAATAGAAAATATCAACCAATCAGAAATGGAGATATATATGTATATTATTCTCTGCTCCTATTGGTGGATATTTTCTATATCTTATTCCTATTGCCTGTTGCTTAATTTTGTGCAAGCGGCTAAGAAATTGATCAATCACAGTCGATTATTCCCCTTATTCTAGACTGTGATTGGTGAATTTCTTAAGATTTAGAGCTTACTGCAGCTATTAGATTCGGCTTCACAATCAAGAATTTAAGATTTAGGGCTTAAATCACTTATTATGGACTCGGCCTTACATGAAAATTGAACCAAATAATTTAATAATTTTATAAATTTATTAAATTAATTTAATAATTTAATATCCAATTAAATAAATTAAATTGAATAGTCAATTAAATAAATTTAATAATTAATAAACAGTCAATTACATTAATTTAAGGCCAGATCTACATCCCTCAGGGGCACTGCGGACTCATCCCTGCAGTGTACGGGTGTCGCAATCCCGAGGTACCCGAGCTGGAGTGTATGGTGATGGATGAACGGGGAGTGATGGGCGTGCAGGCCCTAAAAAGGACTTGTCCACTGCACTAGGTGAAGGAAAACACCGAAGATAACACCCGGGGGGGAGGCCTCGTTAGCTGAGTAAGGCAACCTCCTAAGGGGAAGAAAAACCCCCGACAGAAAAAACCAATTTTCTTGTTACAGATGGGATGGACAACAAGAAGAAATCTGAAATCTGACGTCCTGGAGTCGGATACCAGGAACCGGCGTGGGGGGGGTGTAGGCCTGGCTCCCCTCATGTCGTCATCAGACGACAGGTCGTCCGCAGTTTTGCCGGCTGGGGCTGCGGATTGGACAGCAACAGTGCCGAGGAAGGACAGCAGGAGGACTCGTAAAGCCTACGAGGGCCTCATGGCGCGTGACGACGGAATCGATCCTAAGTATGTTAGGAAACTGCTTGCACGGGTCGATTCCAGGTGCAGCGAGCTTGAGGAGTATCAGGTGCTCCTCGAATATTGCGAGAGGCGCATAATCAAGTGTTGGTGCTCAAGGGAACGCTGGGACTTTGTCCAGAAGTGTCCCGCGTGCGGTACCGAGGGTCCACCGTCTCCGGTTATCGTGAGTGGTGGATATTTGTGTGACCTCGAGAACAGTGGTGAGGGACTTCCGTTCCCGTCTCCGGAGGAGGTGCGTGCTGCGAGCGACGACGAGGAAGCTGGGGGAGACCTCACCTTTGTCTCGCTCCTTTCGTCGCCTTCGGAGGATGAGGCCGAGAAGGAGGATCCAACATGGAAGGTCCATGATGAGAGGATCCTCACGGGAAGGAAGCAATACCCTCCCAAGAAGAGTGCTGCGGACCTCCCAGGTAAGAGCGGCGCGCGCGGCAGGGGTCGTCCGAGGACCACGGGCGATTATGTTGGTCTCGCGGAGGCCAAGGAGCGGAACAACGAGGCGACTCGCGTAGAGCTACAACTCGCGGACCTGCGGAGGGTGCTGGACCCATCTTTGGGCCCGGTGCTCACCGCGGTAGGGCGGGAGAACGCGCCTTCAGAGGAGGCGTACAAGGTGGCGCTCAGGGGTAAGACTGCCCCTGAGCTAAGTAAACTTGCGGGTACGTTCACTACCCAAGTGGAGAAGTTGGCCGGAGTCCATGGCATCGAGGATCTCTTTGCCAGGGAGCTTCGGACTTCTTCGATGAAGCTGGGTAGTGTGATCGAGGAGCTGATCACGAGGGTCTCGACGGATGCTGACCCCGGGATGGATGCCCTACGCAGTGCTAACCAGGGTCTCAGATTGAGAATTTCAACTCTGGAGACCCAGTTGGAGAGTACGAGGGAGGAGCTGGCTTCGCTTCGGGCTGTATTGCCGGGAGTGGAGTCACGCTACTTTCCGAGTACCGGGAAGAGGAGAAAGAGGAAGCGGCGAGCTCGCTCTTCTTCTTTGGACCAGACCGGCGGATCCCCGGAGTTCGTTGCTGAGCGGCAGCGGGAGGACTGTCCGGTTACGGTGGCGGCGGTGTCGTCCCTTATCGATCGTCGTATTAACGACTTGAGGGGCGACATTGCGTCAATCGTCGTGGCCTCTTTGAGGTCGGAGCTTGCGGGGCGGGCTGGGCCTGCTCTTCTTGGAGCGACGCCCATGCGTGCGCCCGCGCAGCGAAGTGTTGGTGGTGCGGTTGCACCGATGCGGCTTCCCGCTCCTGGGGGCTCCGCTGCTTCCGCTTCCTCGGAGGTCTCGGCGGATGCCTCGGGGCGCGGGGCTGTAGCTGGTGGTGGTGGTCGTCGGCGTCGTCGTCGTCGCTCGGGGCCTGCCCCTGGAGGTGGTGCGGCGGGCACTCCGGCTCGCGTGGAGAGGAAGAAGCGTGTGCCTCCCTCTCTCCCCTCGTCGTCGGTGGTTTCACTGACGGTCGGTACGGTGGAGGAGGGGGAGCGCGAGAATACGTATGCCTCGGTTCTCCGTGAGGCAAAGCAGAAGTTGGACCTGCCCAAACTGGGCATAAGGACGATGCGGCTACGTCGAGGGGCGACGGGTAGCATTTTGTTGTCTGTCCAAGGAAGGGACTCTTCCAAATTAGCGGATGAGCTGGCGTCCAAGCTGCGAGAGGTGGACTTCTCTGCTGGGAGTGGAGTTAAGGTGAGTCGACCCTCCCGCATGGGGGAGTTTCGGTTGAGGGGGCTTATGGCCCTCATCTCGAAGGAGGATATTCTCTCAGAGGTGGTTTCGGCGGCTGGATGTAGCGCGGGCGAGGTTAGGATGGGGGACATTCGTTTGTTCCCCAACTCTGACGTCGGGACGCTGTGGGTCCGTTGTCCGGCCGGGGCCGCGCGTAGGCTCATCAAGGCTGGGAGCATAGCGTTGAGTGGGGGGTGGTGGCGGTTGACGGTTACGCCACTTGCCCGTCGCCCCTTGCAATGCTTTAGGTGTCATGCTTTTGGCCACACAGCGAATAGGTGCGAATCTGAGGCCGATCGCAGCGGTTGCTGTTATCGCTGCGGTCAGAGGGGGCATTTGGCAGCCAAATGTGTGGCGCCGCCCTCCTGCCTAGCGTGTAAAGGGGCCGGTAGGCCCTCACAGCACAGAGCCGGCTCTAGCTCTTGTGCGAGGAGGATAATCCCCCCCAAGGGGTTATGGAGGACTGGTGTGCGTTCCTCCCCCCAAAATCGTCAGCGCCCCGAGGGGCCCTCTCTTGAGGGTTCTCCGGTGGCGATGTGCGTTTCGGAGGCCGGGGTGTCGCCGGGGGCGCCGCTAGGTGATTCCGCGGTTCCCTCGACCTCCTCAATGTCTATTCGTTAGTCACGTCTAATGTGGTTATGGGAGCTGCGGCCTACACTCGTCCTTCCTTGCGGGAGGCAAGCAGGTCCGGTTACGCTCTCTGTCTTAGTCTTTGTCCTCGCACAATGTGGATTATGGGAGCTGCGGCCTGCAATTTGTTCCTTAATCGGAACTGGCAGGTTCGGTTACGCTCTCTGTCTGTGGTCTTTATTGTTGTTGCTAGTCAACCTCGTTGTCTTTTGTTGTGGGTGAAATACTATCCTTTCACCCACTCAATGTGGTTCAGCCTCTGCGCTTTTTATGTTAGCCCTCTGTGGGCTGGGCCTGTGGCCCTTACTTAGTTTGGTCACGATTGTGGTTGTGTACATGTTTTGTGCACCGTGTTCCAGTTTTGTGATGTCCTTGTGACGTCTCAGTCTTGTGATGTCCATGTGACGTCTTGTGTTTATTGTCGGGCGGTTTTCACCGCTTCCGTCGGGGACGGCACGAGTGAGGAGTGAGGGCTTCAATCTCATTGCACGCTGTCCCTGGGACGAAGAGAGGGGGTTCGGACCCGGCTCCCTCTTGCTGCCCTCTCCCAGGTAGGGAAAGTGTGCGCGGGAAGTGTGTTCCTGGAGGAACCACCACCTTCTTCCAGGGGGAAGAGCCCCGAAAGGGGTCATGGCCGAGGGTGTCCACTGGAAGTTATGCGGAAGCGGTTCCCGGTGGACAATACCCGTCAAGGCAAGGGTTTCAGTGAGGTTTTAGGTTTGGGTCAGGCCACCTCCTTCAGAGGTGGAGAATCCCCCACACGCCTTCTGGGTCCTCCCTCAGGACCCAGTCGGTACGGTTTGTTGGTTAAAGCAAATTTCCTCACTATAAAAAAAAAAAAAAAAAAAAAAAGGCCAGATCTACAACAGGTGTAGTAAGCTCTAAGCTTTAAAAAATTCACCAATCACAGTCAAGAATGAGGAAAATAATTGACTGTGATTGATCAATTTTTTAAGGCTTAGAGCTTACTACATCTATTGTAGACCCGGCCTAATTATTTAATGAACAGTCAATTAAGGGTCGACAGGTCGGCCGGCCAAACTCCGAATTGATGTTGGAGACCTCGCGCGGTGACAACGCGAAACTCCGATTTCAGTGTTGCCAACGCCGAGAAACCAATTCTCGGGTTTTATGTAGTGGTGCATGTCTGTACACGTACATACACTATTGCATTGCTCACACGGACGCACCGTAGAGAGACAAGGACCGATAATTACGTGTTCTCCTTGTTCCTCTATCGTGCCGGTATTCGCGAGATACGGCCTGAAAATGCTTTCTGGCCTTCCGTAGCAGAAGGCAGTAGCGTAATAAGGCTAATAAGTACCTACTTTTTGTAAATTTTATATATGCTTATGCACATATGTGCGTATATATATATATATATATATATATATATATATATATATGTATATATATATATATAAATTTATTAAGGGTCGACAGGCGACATGGTGGAGACGCCTATCGGCCGGCCGGGAATTACGGATTCGTTCATCCCATATATTAGCCAAAATACTTAATGAATCTTATTAAATTTACGATATTCTTAATCAGTAGGATTGTCCGCAGGGAG